TGTTGTTGTTGTTGTTGTTGTTGTTGTTGTTGTTGTTGTTGTTGTTGTTGTTGTTGTTGTTGTCGATACCGTTGTCGTAGGTGTCGGTGTCGGTGGCGGCAGCATCGACGATGACGGAGGTCTCGCTGAAGCGTAGCATCGAACCGCCGTAGGTGATGATATCGCCATCGGGGGAACCGCGGATCGTATCGTGTGGGTCGTCCTAGGGTGGTAGAGAAAACGTTGCAACACGGCCAACAGCGCGTAGGCACGACGGCAGAAGGGGAGGGGAGGGGAAGGGCCGGGGGAGGAAGGTGAGGCTTTGGGGCGATTGCAACCAGAGAACAAGGTTCAGCGTGTGTGTGAGGGATGGGTTGCGGAACGTGTGATGGCGGGAGCTGAGCCGAACTGAACATGGCTATTCTCCGCGTGAGGGGCGAAGGCCAGGGTGCCAAAGGTGTACGCATGTGTGAAGCTGCTTGGGTAGGTGTTCGAGCGGTGGGAATGTACACCCTTGGGTCGCAAAGGAGTTGGTGCTTGAGCGTTGTCAGGTCCAAATAGGTGCAAGGATACGCCAGCTCCTGGCAAACCAGGTGCGTTCCTGGTTATAGGTGCAAGGATACGCCAGCTCCTGGCAAACCAGGTGCGTTCCTGGTTGAAAAGAACTAAACAAGCAGCACTGCTGGCACACGATGGGCCGGTCTCACAACATCGTGGAGGCAGGTGTTCAGATAGAGGTCAGACCAAGTCTGTCCTGACCACGGGATATGTAGCAATGGGGTCGCTAACAAAGCACCACCGACAACGACAACAACAACAACATCAACAACAACAAGAGCTCACCGTCCTCGTGTTGACCAGATCGTCGAAGCGGTGCTGGTCGCCGCGGAGGTGTAACTCTCCGTTCACATTGAAGATCTCGGCCGTATCGCCCTAACAGAATTACCCAGCGATTGTCACAGCAGAGGTTGGACAAGGGTAGAGCAGGGGCGTTGGGAAAAATAGATACGACAGGGGAGAGGGAGGAAAGCAGGGCAAGTAAGAAGGACATGCGAAATGGATGGACTCCGCGATTGCGGGGACCAGCATATCTATCTCCGGTCCAAAAGGAAAACAACACAATGCCCTGGGGATAATTTGACAAGTTGTCGAGACATTCGGGCGTGGCAAGAAAAAGTCCTGGGGGCGAGGTAATCGTCTCACTTCGACATCGACAAAGTTAGGAAGAAATAGGGGAGGGGCCCTCGCGAGCACAGCAAAAAAAAACAGGAACGGATGCTAGGGGCGACATCTTCCCTCTAATAGATGCCACACCCTCCTAAGAAGCATAGGGAGATATGCCAGACCAAAACAGCGCTCAACGGCTACCTGGTCCCTCTCGAA